AAATCAAAGAGGAACAGACCGTGGTGTGAATATTGCAAGAAGCTTGGCCATTTAAAGAAGTGTTGAAAAATTTATGGAAAACTTGTAAATTGGAAGCCCAACAAGTGAAATGTGATGGAGAAATTAGGTAAACACACCATCAATGGAAGCCAAGCCTCATGAATATAATCTATTCAATAAGGAATAACTTTTGGGACAATATTTTGAGCTTTATACTAGCCTTCTAACACAATAATGTAGTCTTCCTTTGCTCTTGTTGCTCTCAACATGAAGAATTAACCTTGGATAGTGGACCCTGGATCATTTGAACGCATGACGTGCTATCACTATTTTCAATCCTTCCATTCTTGCAAGCGCTAGATTGTAGTTAGAATTTTAGATGACTCACTTTCATTTCTGAAAGGAAGAGAAAGTGTGGATCTCACAAAAGACCTTATTCTTCAATCTATGCTTTTATGTTTCTAAACTTAAGTATAATTTATTGTCTATCAGTAAAGTTACTCGTGGCATGCATTTTGTTAATAAATTCTATCTTAATATATGTGAATTTTAGGTGATAGATTCGGGGAAGAGGATTGACAGTTCTAACATCCATCATGAAATTTATCTATTCACTAGGACTCCCACTTTAAAAGGAATGTCCTATCATTTACAATCCTTTGAATTGAATTTTGTATCTGAGCCTATTTCTTATGAGAGTCAATTTATGTTATGACATTTTTGCCTTAGGATCCTAACTTTTTTTTTTATTGAAAATTTTTTTCCCCATTTGATTATCAATAAAAAGTCTAGTAGTTATCAGTATGAAATTTGTCAACTGGCCAAAAATACTTCACAAGTGTACTAGCACCTGAAATATATGTTAACAAATCTCTTCTCCACGGTTCATAATGATATTTGGGGGTCCTAAAAAATAAAAAAAATAAATATGCTACACCAGAATCGTTTGGAAATTTCTCATGAATGAAAAATTTGAAATTGCTAGTATATTTAAAATCTTCCACAATATGATTCTCAACCAATTTCAGAACAAAGTTTAAATTCTCAAAATCGATAATTTAAAAGACTATTACAACTCCATTCCCCTTTCTTATCTATCAAAACATGATATCATTCATATAAGCTCTTGTGTTGACACACCCAACAAAATGGTGTGACTGAAAGATAGAACAAACATCTCTTGAAGTGGCCTGTTTAATCCTATTCACTAACACTTTTGGAGGGATGCAATTCTTACATCCATTTATCTCATAAATAGAATGCCCAATAGAGTTCTAAATTTTAACAAACTTCTCAACCCTCATAAAATCCTACCCTCATATTCAGTCCTCACATTCAATCCTTGATCTTTAATCTACATTAAATATTTTTGGTTGCATCCATTTTATTCATCTACATCAACCACATCAGACTAAACTTGATCCCAGTTCAATTAAATGCATCTTTGTGGGCTACTCTTCAAATAAAAAGAGATATAAATGCTACTCTTCAGAAACACAAAAAAATTATAACACCATGGATGTCACTTTTTTAAATCAATCATATTATCACAAATTTAACATTCAGGGGGAGAGTTGGAGTGAATATCTGATTTGAAATACTATTCAAGAACCTCAAGCTCACCTCTTTCATATCTTTAATGAACCCACTCTTGTCCCCATTATCACAAATTAGCTGGAAAATGAACCTACTGCATTAAATCCTCCCACAGCTCTCACCTAGAATCATGAACTTTGTGTGAGCACCAGAAAGAAAAAAAATGTTATTGGGCATGTAAGAGACAATATACAAAATCAGGAATACAAATCACAGGAACCAACTCTGCACATCCCAAGTATTCACGCAGAGGTTGGTTCAACACCTGAACACCAAGAACAAGGAGCACAAGAATGTACAAAATATTTGATAGAAAAATTTGTGGCCTATGGAATATTATCGTCCACTTATAATTTTTTTGTGTAGAATTCGGATAATGTGCAGGTCCCATCTTATAACAACACTCCCATCTTAAAAAAAGAGGTAGGGTGCAAATGGGTATTCACTTTTAAATACAAAGCAGATGGGAGCATAGAATGCTTCAAGGCTAGACTTATAGAAAAAGTGTTTGCTCAGTTCTATGGGATCGACTACTAGGAGACATTTGCACAAGTGGTGAAACTAAACACAGTAAGAGTATTATTGTCATTGACTGCAAGCAAGATTAGCCTTTACATTAGCTAGACACTAGAAATGCTTTTCCTAATTGGGGTTTGAGGAAGAATTGTATTTGGAAATATCTCCACGATTAAAAAACAACACAAATAACAAGTTAGTATGCAAACTAAATAAATTATTGTATGGATTGAAACTATCTTCCAGACTATGGATTGAAATTTTCATCAAGGCTATTCTTGCCAGTGGGTACTATCAGTGTTTGGCTGATCACACTTTTTTGTGAAATCAAAGCAAGAATATATGAGTCATTCTAATTGTATATGTAGACATTATTCTACTGATAATGACATAAGGGAACTTGAAATAATCAAAAGAATAATAGCATCCGAGTTTGAGATTAAAGATATTGGAACTTTAAGATACTTCATCAGAATGAAAATAACTAAATCCAAAGAAAGCATTGTGATATCCCAAACAAAATATATCTTTAATTTATTAATGGTGATAGGAATGTTGGCATGCAAACTAACAGATGCTCCGATGGATACCAATCCATAAATATCAGAAGGAGAGGATAACACTCTAGTTGAAAAAGGGAGGTATCAAAGGCTTGTGGGGAAACTTATTTATTTGTCATATACAAGACTTGACATTGCCTTTTATGTGGGTGTAGTGAGCTAACATATGTACAATTCAAATGAAGATTATTTAGAAGCGGTCTTTTGAATCCCGGGGTACCGAAGAATGACTTGAGGATGTGGAATGATATTCAAGAAAACTGAGAACCGCCAATTTGAGATCTACACTAATGTTAGCCGACAGGAGAACTGATTGATATAAGATCTACCACATGTTACTATACTTTTGTGTGAGGTAACCTGGTTACTTGGAGAAGTAAAAAAGTAAATTGTGGTGGCAAGAAACAATGCAAAATCTAAGTATTGTGCCCTGACCCTAGGAATTTTTGAAGGGATGTGGCTAAAGAAACTATGGGTGGAATTTCACATGAAGAACCAAAACACTATTAAGAGGTTTGTTGATAGTCAATCAACCATTAGTATTTCAAAGAATCTGGTACACCATGATCGAACTAAACTTATAGAGATTGACAGACACCTGCATCTTGGAGAAAGTCAATGGAGGAGTTGTTCAACTAAGCTATATCCCAACTCAGTACCCATTGCTGATATTCTTACCTTTGCTCTTCCTCGCTACCACTTTAGTAATCTCAGAAGCAAGTTTGTGAATTGTGACGTATGCAACCCAACTTGAGGGGGATTGTTGATATGCACATGATTTGTGAAACCGTGGGTCCGCTAGTATTACATTTGAGAGAAGAAATTATTCTTCCTTAATTATCCATTATTGTGTTTTATTCCTTTCCTTTTTATCATGATGATTTGAATTTCCCTCTAATTGTAAGAGGATTAGTCTCAGATGTGTGTGTCTACACACACACACATGCATACATTGTTTTACTTAATGGGAAAGTGAGTATTTTCCTTCCTAAAATTCACACATTCTTTAGCCATCGAATGGCTATTTTCTACTCTCTTTGTTATATATGCTCAAACAACACGTTTATTTTTCACAATATTATCATCAATAAATGATACTCCGCCCATGTCTTGATATAATTTTTTATGGGCTATGAATGGATTGATAGGTGTAACTAAAGTCAATAAGTGGCATACGGGCTGAACTTGATAAACTAACAAATCAAATTGAAACTAACCTTGACTCAATGTGCCAGCTTATGAGCTGGCATGCTTAAAAAATATTAGTATAAATTAAAAATATTAGAATTCAAGGGTTATGCGTACAACTATTAAAGAAACTTAAAATTACACATAAAATTTTACAAGATAATTGTCCCTATTTTCATTGAAAGCATGGCAACTAAAAAAACTATAAGGAGTGACCATTATCTGAAAACTTTTTTTTTCTTCACTTAAACCAAAATTTTTATTCTATTTAATCCAAGAGGATTGACACCCTTAAATTCAAGCCAAACATGGATTGAAATTTTTTCAAGGACAAAGGAATTCTCAATGTTATGGAGCTTCCAATGTCCTTCCAGAAGCTTGTAGAAGACAGGGATCCTTATAGATAGAATTTGATAAGATGAAGTGAAGCTTCTAGCGTTTGATTGCTTTGAAATCCAAGTTCATATGAGGCCTGGTTGGCCATTCAAAGAGAGGAATATTTGAATTTTTTAATTGTAATTGTTTGAATGTTTATTAAAGTTTGATTAATTATCCTTATTTCTTTCAGTGCAGGTAGATTTATTTTTTATTTGATTTTTGTATCTACGAATTAACTCCTATTTCCTGTAAATAAAAGCCATTTCATATGTTGAATTTTAAGCTTGTAGTAATAGAATAATTCATCTCCATATTTCTCTTTCATTTATGACCAATTTGATCTTCTTCCCTATAAGATTTCCCGCAACACCTGTTGCCTGATTGATTTATTCTCTATCCGAATTATGCCTCCAAGGTGATTCGCTTGAATTCCTGGACATTTGCAGATTCCTCTTCTCTCTCTCCTTAGTTTTTAAAACACGGACTCTCTCTCTCTGTCTCTCTCTCCAGCCCTGAGGGAAGCTGCATGCATGCATGGACAGAAATCTTAATTAAGATTTGACAAAGTAATCTTATGTGGGAATAATTTTTGCACTTCTTCTCTGATATTATTTCTGGATATGACAATTTGTTAGTTTTGTAAGAATGAGATGTGTTGCACTATAATGTTTTTTTTGTAGGTTGTAATTAAGTAATTTCTCGTCATGCTCTTACTTATATTTCTTCTCATTTCTACATTTACATAACACCATCCATTTGCAGACTGGTTCTGGTGAAGAGGAACTCTTTTGCGTGTATGTTCCCACCAATCATCTCTATATTGGTGACACGTTTATGGTTAACTCATGCGATGTAATTCGACCCAATCTATCTGTCCGTGAAGGAATTGGTAAACTTTTGATTATCTTAGTGCCCATTTGTTATTGTCACAAAAAATTTCTACATCACAGAATTTTTTTTGTTTCAAATCTTAACAATGCATTATGCTGACATTTTACAGAAATTGTCGTATCTGGTGGCATGTCAATGCCGCAAATTCTCTCAACACTGGAACCACAAACAAGCATCCGTCGATAGAAATAGGTAGAAACTGACCATCTCGTAGCTATAATGCTTTTAATCAATACTCCAGTTTTCATGAATTTAGCTTCTGTTGGATTGTTGGAGCTGCCATAACTCCTTGTATAGGCCAGGCATGTGACTCATGAAATTGTATATTTTTTAGGTTTGTATAATATGATGGATAAGGTTGATGGCTGATGTCATTTTGAACATTTTGATGCCTTATGTTTTTTTTTTTTCCTTTTTTTGCAACTTTTCTTGAAGCGGTATGCTTTTATATGGTGCTTCCTGTTCTGATGGCTGAGATTCAGGCTTTCTGAATTCTTTGCGGAGACTCAAAGGCTAGCAGCTTGGTTGTAATCCAATTCAAACTATCATGCTAGAAAAAAAGAGCATGTGATTTAGTAATCTTCATTTTTTGCCAATTTTTTGGTTATGAGAAACAGAGAGAGAGAGAGAGAGAGAGAGAGAGTGGCAGATGGCTTGCAGTGCACTTCACGTGCATGGCTGCATGTGGAGGGCCGGAGGCCATCTATGAACATATGAATTCTATAATACAAGCTGTCATCATTATGAGTACCACTATTGAACGGCTATAAAACTAGAATTATGCAGTCCTTAGTTTCATCTCAAGAAGAACAGTAGCAATGTTCTCTTTGATCAGGAACCCATGGCTGATTCTTCTCTGTATCCTTTCTGTTGCTTCCCTTCCACTTCCCCACAACGCCATGTCCTCCTGCTTTGACATTCATAATGCTACTGACATTGTCCTTGACATTTCAACCGCAAAAACTGACATAACAGTTCATGACGATGGCAATGGGATTGGTGGCGGGAATGGCGGTGGCGGTGGCGGTGGCGGTGGCGGTGGCGGAGGCGGAGGCGGGTGGCGGCAATGGTCGTGGGGGTGGTGGCGGTGGTGGCAGTGGTGGAGGCGGGGGGAGTGGTGGACGTGGTAGTGGTGGTGGGGGAGGTGGTGGTGATGGCAATGGAGGTATGGGAGATGACAATGATGGAGAAAGTCACAATGGAAGAGGGGATAACAATGGTAGAGGAAGTGGTAGTGGTGGAGGAGGTGGTGGTGGTGGTGGAGCTGGTGGAGGTGGTGGTGGTGGAGGAAGCACAAGTAGAGGCCGAGGAGGCAAGGGTTGCCATGGCAGGGGAGGACGACAAAAGGGAGGCCACCATAAAGGCAAAGGAAAGAAGACCCGAGTATTAAACTAGTTATTTAGGCTATGATTTGAATGTGATTGCTTAACTATATATGAGAAGGGTTGCCCTACTTTGGCTTGCTGGCTTGGTTTTCATTTTTATTTTATTTTTATTTCGTTTGCATCATAATAAGGATTCTAGAACCAGCATATTATCATGCAAACGTCAACATGGTTATTGATTGCGGTTTCGATGTCATTTTCAGATGTTGGTAGGTCTTTTTTTGTGTGAGCTTGATGGGATGCTCTAATTTGTTTCCCACTGGTTTTGTTTTTAACATAATGAGAAGTATGATATGATATGCATACATTCTTTTTTATTTGTGAACTATTTGTGGGGCCTTTATCATAAGATTTAATATTAAGGTTCATGTAACTGCTCGTCATTTATTCGATTTCATTAAAAAATAAAATAAAAATTAAATAATTTTTGGTATTTCTTATTAGATGATAAGACGCGTTCGATGTTATAATACCAACATTTTATTTAAAATGATAGCGAAGGAAATTGATCCAAAATGTTGTTTTTTTTATTGTTGTCTAAATTTCCTCAAATTTCAGGTATTTATCTTATAAATTACAAATATTTTGCTTCTCTTTCATGGATAGTTTTTTCTTAAAATATATTATTCCAAGAGATGATTTTCAATGGTTAATATAAAGATGGTGCTGGTGACAATTATTTCCATTGCACAAATTGAATGGTGAAACCAAACTAAAGAATAAATGAATCTTCCATGAACAAAAGGAATTGGCTTGACATACAGACCACACAATTCCTATGTATTTACATGTCTGCCACCCAAACTTAACATATTTACTTGCATGGCATTAAATCTTTAATATCACGTCAAAAATATCACTTTCACCTACTTTTTATTACAACTTTTCATGCATAGGGTTTATCAAACCAAAAGGTTATGCATGTAAATATGAAAGTTTGGGTGTTAGATATGTAAATACATAAGAATTGTGTGGTATGTATGTAAATTTCCAAACAAAAATAATAATAAGTTGATTCAAAGAAGTTGCATTGTATATAGTATCAACCCTTAATTAAGAATAAATTATAAATTTTTAAATCATTCACTTACAAAGATATTGTGGAAAATATATTAGGAGCACAATTTATGGTGATATCATCACATTAGTTATATCTAAATTGCTTAATTTATCTTATTTTCACAAAAAAAAAAAAAATGAATATAAATTTTGAAGGCATAGATATAAAATGTAGATATGAAAGTATAGGGGTGAGATAATTAAATGCATAAGAAATGTTACATGTTAAAGATGTTTTTCACAAAGCACCATTTAATGTCACCTGTTGCAATATTTAATATCATCTGGCACAATAATTAGTCTTTTTTGAATGGTTTGTGTTATTTAGAGTCCGTTTAGGGCAGCTTATTTTTGTGCGGTGGCGTTTTGAAAATGCACCTTACCTGTTTGGGTAAACTGCGTTTTGGCAGCTTATGCGTTTTCAAAATGCCGAAATCAACGTTTTCACACCGCACCTATCTAGGTGCAGTGAGAACTTTCTGGCAGCGGTCTGGCTCTTCCAAAAAAATAAAAATTTTTAATAGTCATCGCACCTAACTTATCAACAGCTTATTTTTAATCAGCTTATCAGCAAATTATTCAATAAGCTGCAGCTGTTCCAAATAGACCCTTATTCTAATGATCACTAGTTTGATGTTTAGCAGCTCGAAGAGAGAATGATTCAATTGAATCATTTAATCTAAACTGAAAAAAATGAGCTTAATTAAATCATTATATGCAACATTGACCATAAGAAAAATCATAACTTAAATTGAATCAAACAACTCAGTTTAGTTTGATGCTTACTTTCTATGTCCACTTTGGATTTAGGTGGATTGTATTGATTCCAGAGGTTATAAAAATGTATAAATAATTGAATCATATACTTCATATTCTTCTCAATTAATGTATATATAATAATAAAAATTAAATTTAGATAATAAAATTAATTTATTTACTTCTATTAAAAATATAAATTAATAAATTATTATGAATATTAAATAATTTTTCTATAAAAATGGTTTGATAATATATTTTGTTTTATAAAATAAAATTGAAAAAAATTCCAATTCTCAAATATTAAATGCATCATTGCTATAAACAACGTTCTTGACAAAATGACTGCGGTTATTTAATTAGTTTGTCTGTAATGCTTCAACCCACAACATTGGCCTGAAAAAGAAAGTAATTGATTTTCCTTCTTCCACAGCTAAATTGGTTTTGTTTTTGTTTCACATAAACATATTTCATGCAGAATATTTAAAAAATTATCATTTTAAAAAAGTAAATATATTTATATATTTTTTTTGAATTATCATAATTAAATTTTTGAATGTAGTAGGCTCATATTTATCAGAATTAAAAAAAGTAGCATTTTTATATGTTGTGTGATAGAAGATTCGGGAGAGTTGAGTGATAATTTAACTGTCTTCCAGCACACATATAGCAAAAAGTAGTTGGAGGAGACAACGACATTTTTTTACAAGAAAAAAACTCTATAAAAGGAAAAAAATCTTGGGTCAAGCCCAGTCAAACGAATCTACTATGTGATTGCAAGTATATAAGTTTTTTTACCTTAATTAAAGAAGATGAAATTGTAAAAATGATAATTATAGATACACAATGGTAGTTAAGCTATAATAGTCATAATTAGGTTGCAACATATGTGGTTTTTGGCTGTAATAGCAATATTTGGCTATGAGTGCCGTAGTTGACAATGGTAAAAGTAGTAATTGGCCACAATAGTTGTAGTTAGTGGTTTCAATAGCATCTTCTCGCAACAGAGGCCATATTAGGAAGCTATAATAGTAACTTATCAGATATGTCATAGTTAGTAGTTGCAAGAGCGTTAATTGGTTGCATAGGCCGTAGTGGGAAGCTGCACTATTAACTGGCCACATAGACCATAGTTAGTGCTTACAAGTGACTTAGTTGTCTAAAAAGGCTAGTTGACCTCACTTTTGTGATCAAAACTTCTCATTGGCTTAATCCAATCTCATATGGACCTCGAATTATTTATCAGCATCCCTAGAAGATTGAATCCGATTAAAGCATAACTTAAACCACACTTTATTTAAATTTTAAACAAACCCTAAGTTGCATGTTAAAATTGGAATCTAACTGACTGAAATATGAAATTAACCAAACTAAACTAGAACAAAAATTAACCAACTTCAACCAAACCCTAAAATTCAACTAGAAACAAACTCAATCCAAATAAACCTTGAAATTATCATTTTCTCTACTTTTCATCATAGAGTTTGAAATTTCATTTTGAAAGCTTCGCGATGTTCATTATAACTTATAAAAAGCATGAAAACATGTCTGATGATGATCAAACACTTTTTTAAAGTAAAACATTTTGCTTTGAGTTTTCATGCATGAAAATCACACTTATGTAAACTTTTTTCAACTAAGCGTTATTTTTCAGAATGGATTATGTGAATGTGTTTGAATTATCGAAGCCTTTCAAATGAGCCCCTTCATGCCCAATTCAAACTTCATTTGGAAGTCTATCATGACTATGATAATTTGGGCAATAATAAGGATAATCATAACGATAATCATAATAATAATCACCAATAACAACTTGAATTGAGCCTAAATTAATCTCAAACTTAACTAAAGTAAAGTTGAGCTAAAAATATTAAATTTAACCAATTCTATCAAAATTCCCTCTCATGGTGGGGCCCACACTTTGACTTCAAATTCCTTGAGATATGGTTCACCTTGAGCAAAATAAACTTCACAGTGTACTCACATCATTTTTCTGAGCTAAATGAGTCAAGGTCGAATTTTTGCCCATAACTACCCTAACTCTTCATTTGATCTTTGAATTGAAATATCATGAGATGGAGATGACCTTAATCAAAGTTGACTTCACTATTATGTTTCCCAGATTTTTCTCATATAAATGGGCCAAGGTTATGTTTTTGGGCTCCAACCACCCCGACCACCTAAACCAACCATTTCAAGTTTCCCTCTCATTT